ATAGATCCCTAATGAGGAGTTACAATATGTGAGGCAGCCATAAACGGTAGTGTTCTGTAGGTGTGTGTGTGTGTGTGTGGGGGGGGGGTGTGTGTGTGGGGTGTGTGTGTGTGTGTGTGTGGGGGGGGGGGTGTGTGTGGGGTGTGTGTGTGTGTGTGTGTGGGGGGGGTGTGTGTGTGTGGTGTGTGTGTGTGTGTGTGTGTGTGTGTGTGTGTGTGTGTGTGTGTGTGTGTGTGTGTGTGTGTGTGTGTGTGTGTGTGTGTGTGTGGTGTGTGTGTGTGTGTGTGTGTGTACTCACCTAGATGTGTTTGCGGGGGGTTGAGCTCTGGCTCTTTGGTCCCGCCTCTCAACCGTCAATCAACAGAGCTGTGTTTATGTGTTGTTGATGCAAGATGTTGGGCGTCTGGGACAAGCGTCTGAGTTATGGCTACATCAGGAGTGTTCTATCACACTGTTGTTGACGTGGTCTGGCCGACCCCTCACACTGTTCAAGAGAGAACTGGATAAGCACCTACAAAGGATACCTGATCAACCAGGCTGTGACTCATACGTCAGGCTGCGAGCAGCCGCGTCCAACAGCCTGGTTGATCAGTCCAGCAACCAGGAGGCCAGGTCGAGGACCGGGCCGCGGGGACGCTAAGCCCCGGAAGCACCTCAAGGTAAGGTGGTGGGTCAGTCTCTGGGGACAGGTAGACTGTTCTCTCACTCTCAACCTGTTAAGTTGTTGTTGTTGTTTTAGATTAAGCTACTCAGAACGAAATGTCCATGTAGCACGGGCTATGGCGATCCCGTAAGCCCCCCTGTGAAGTTCTTCCGGTGGGTAACGTACCTCTGGCTTCCTGACAGCTTCACGAATGCAACTCTTGAGGCAACACTATAAAAAAATAATTAAATAAATAATTAAATAATTAAATAAATAAATAAATAATTAAATAAATAAATAAATAAAATAAAATTAAATAAATAAATAAATAATTAAATAAAATAAGTAAATAAATAAATAAATAAATAAATAAATAATTAAATAAAATAAATAAATAAATAAATAAATAAATAAATAAATAAATAAATAAATAAATAAATAAATAAATAAATAAATAAATAAATAAATAAATAAATAAAATAAATAAATAAAATATATAAATGTTTATTCAGGTAAGGTACATACATACAAGAGATTGTATAAAATGTATAGGTTTATAGATAGAGCTAGTACATACAGTGCCTAAAGCCACTATTACGCAAAGCGTTTCGGCCAGGATAAACACTAATGACTAAAACTTAATACTAATTGAGTTTAAAGTATAAAATGTGTTGAGAACCAATAAAAATAAGAAAGGGGGAAACATGGCTGAAAAAGCAGCACAAATACAATTAGGTCGACAAACAGCGTTGTTTTAAAAAATCAGACATTGGTTGACAGTATAGGGGTAAGGCAGGTTACAGGGAATTTATTAGGTATAGCTTCGTTTTTAACTTAAACTGGTTGAGAGAGGTACAGTCTTTAACATGGTTGGGAATATCTGGCTTTGTTGTGTAAAGGAGGAAATGTATATGTTTATCTCTCAGAATGTTTGGTAATATGTTTATTGTTTGTGATGTGTGTGTATGTATGTATTAACACGATGTACTGAACGGGGTGAGAATAGCTTCAGCTACCTCATCCCTTTGTGTGGATTTTACCTCAATAATCTTATTTATATTTCAATTTCAATATAAGGCTTTGTTGTGCTTCAATGTTTCACGAGTTCAATGTTGACCAGACCACACACTAGAAGGTGAAGGGACCTTACCTTGAGGTGCTTCCGGGGCTTAGTGTCCCCGCGGCCCGGTCGTCGACCAGGCCTGCCCCGTCCTGGACCATTCTCAAGTCGATAACGTGACGACTTGAGTCGTCACTTGTCACGATAACGTGACGACTACGACGATAACGTAACATTGACACATTTCAGCCACGTTATTGTGGCTCCTCGTCTTCAATGCCATTATTTCCTGTATTCAAGCCGGTCTGTATCTCAAACAGTCTAGTCACCCTGTACCCGACCATGACTGTATCACTGTAATTTGAAGTCTTCCTTGAAGGGAAAGGAATTTTCAAGGGAAAGCGCCAAGCCATTACGACTATAGAGCACTAGGAAAGGGTCAGGATAATCTTGAGGTTATCTTGAGATGATTTCGGGGCTTTAGTGTCCCCGCGGCCCGGTCCTCGACCAGACCTCCACCCCCAGGAAGCAGCCCGTGACAGCTGACTAACTCACAGGTACCTATTTTACTGCTAGGTAACAGGGGCATCAGAGTGAAAGAAACTCTGCCCATTGTTTCTCGCCGGCACCCATGATCGAACCCGGGACCACAGGATCACGCGTCCAGTGTTCTGTCCGCTCAGCCACCGGCTCCCAATAAGGATTTGGATATAAGGATAAAGGATTTGGGATGGGACGGGTTGAAAGGAATGGTGCCCAACCACTTAGACGGTCGGGGATTGAACGCCGACCTGCATGAAGCGAGACCGTCCCTCTACCGTCCACTGCATGTGGCTGGACAAGTCACTGATACTAACATAAGTTTTCACTACATAATCAACTTCTCTGCCAGTAACAACAGTCTGTTTGTTCACTGAGCTTGCGCCTCTCATTCTTGGAACAGTGTCAAAAGCTGGTTGATACCTGCTTGATGGGGTTCTGGGAGTTCTTCTACTCCCCAAGCCCGGCCCGAGGCCAGGCTTGACTTGTGAGAGTTTGGTCCACCAGGCTGTTGCTTGGAGCGGCCCGCAGGCCCACATATACCTGCTTGATGGGGTTCTGGGAGTTCTTCAACTGCCCAAGCCCGGCCCGAGGCCAGGCTTGACTTGTGAGAGTTTGGTCCACCAGGCTGTTGCTTGGAGCGGCCCGCAGGCCCACATATACCTGGTTGATGGGGTTCTGGGAGTTCTTCTACTGCCCAAGCCCGGCCCGAGGCCAGGCTTGACTTGTGAGAGTTTGGTCCACCAGGCTGTTGCTTGGAGCGGCCCGCAGGCCCACATACCCACCACAGCCCGGTTGGTCCGGCACTCCTTGGAGGAATAAATCTAGTTTCCTCTTGAAAATGTCCACGGTTGTTCCGGCAATATTTCTTATGCTCACAAGCTCTATGATAAATTAATAACTTGCTCGCCTCGCAACCTTCCACCTCTTAGTCGGTCTGTCATTCTGTCGTAGAAACTAAGAGTCATTCTCACACTCTCTGGGAGCCGGTCGGCCGAGCGGGCAGCACGCTGGACTTGTGATCCTGTGGTCCCGGGTTCAATCCCAGGCTCCGGCGAGAAACAATGGGCAGAGTTTCTTTCACCCTATGCCCCCCTGTTACCTAGCAGTAAAATAGGTACCTGGGTGTTAGTCAGCTGTCACGGGCTGCTTCCTGGGGGTGGAGGCCTGGTCGAGGACCGGGCCGCGGGGACACTAAAAGCCCCGAAATCATCTCAAGATAACCTCAAGATATGTAGTTAGTGGTGGCTGTTTTAATACGCCATTTTCTGTACGTTGTGGCAACTCTAAAGGGTCGACTGGAAGGCTTGGCCTCTTGTCACAGAGTGGCGAAAAATTATATACTAAATTGTCCGAACCTAACCTTATCGCGCACCCACGTATAGAAAACGCAACAGCCCGGCAGTTTGGCTAGTCGCTATTATTTACACTACATCATATTAGCGACATGCTAAACTGCCCGGCTGTTGCGTTTTCTATACATGGGTGCTCGAGTAGGTTAGGTTCGGGCAAATTTATTATATCATTCAATCTTCCTCCGTCAAAATACAATGTGATATTCGAGGAAGATTGGCTGTAGACAGATGTCTTAAGCAGAGGTCCAGAGACACTCTTTAAGATGGCACCCCACTAATGACCTCATTCACTCCTAACAGCTGTACCACCTACCATATACTCATGCTAAGATACTCATACTCATCAAGCCACCTCCTGTGGTGGTTTAATCTTCATCAACAGATGGACTTGTCATTCTCTATTTTGAAATGTATTCATCAAAAATAAACGGGGAAAAAAATCATACATTTCTTGTGAATTATATTTGAAAATATCAAACAGTATTTTAGGCTCCTGCAATACTGCGTACTTATTTACACGATATTAATATATATATATATATATATATATATATATATATATATATATATATATATATATATATATATATATGTATATATATATACACCCCTATATATATATATATATATATATATATATATATATATATATATATATATATATATATATATATATATATATATATATATATATATATATATATATAGGGGTGTGAGTGATATATATATATATCCCTCCCCTCCCTATATATATATATGTATATATATATATATATATATATATATATATATATATATATATATATATATATATATATATATATATATATATATATATATATATATATATATATATATACCCGTGTTTATATTAACCATGACAGCCGCTTACAGCTGAAGCTTGACTGGATAATAACAAGTATATATGACAAGAACATTATATAATATAATTTTTTGCGAAAAGCATTGATCGTTGCAGCTTGATTCCATATATATATATATATATATATATATATGTTGAGGATGAAGTGTTTAATATGCTTATTTTCTACTCCTTTCTGAACCATATATATATATTTTTCTCCTAAGAATATTATTTGGCTGAAAATACTGACATTTGGGACACTGTTATCGTCTTTTGTTCGCGGGTTTAACATAGGGATTTCTTGCAAGGCGACTGGCGGTGTCATCACTGCAGGAGTGACGTCTGTGTGAGCCGCTATTGGTGAAGACAGTGAGGGAGGCGGCGTCCCATTGGTCGCGCGAGGCCCGAGGGGGCGGAGCGTAGGTGGCAGAGGGCGGGGAGTGGGTGACAGTGGGCGGAGCGAGGGCGGGGCCACAGAAGGGAGCCTGACAGCAGCGTCAGCGGCCATTACTCGATGGTGGCGGTGAGCGTGTGACACGTCCTGTCCCGCAGCTGTGTGTTCTGCACCTCTCCGCCCTTACAGCTGTGTTTTAGCCCGCTCAGTTCTCTCTCTCGCCCCGAGAGCTGTGTTCTGGCCCCTGAGAGCCGTGTTCTGAATATTCCCGCCCTGGCTAAGTGCGTTCTGCCTGGCGTACGAGCGTCTATATTTTGATCTAGAGCCAAACTACCTCAGTTTGAACGGTCGTTGTTGTGTTGGGTTTTCTGTAGGAAGGTGACAGGGTTACTCAGGAGTGTATACGTGTGGGAAGCTTTGAAGACCTGTGTGCGCAGATCTCGTGTGTTGGGACGCAGTGCGGTGAACAGCAGGTGACCGCGGGGCGCAGCGGTGTACGGCGTGCGTGTGAGCAGCGGCGTGAAGGAGACGCAGCGGGCGGCCTGAAGGAGACGCAGCGGGCGGCGTGAAGGAGACGCAGCGGGCGGCCTGAAGGAGACGCAGCGGGCGGCCTGAAGGAGACGCAGCGGGCGGCGTGAAGGAGACGCAGCGGGCGGCCTGAAGGAGACGCAGCGGGCGGCCTGAAGGAGACGCAGCGGGCGGCGTGAAGGAGACGCAGCGGGCGGCCTGCAGTAGACGCAGCGGGCGGCGTGGGTGATGGTTGCGGGGCTGTGTTAGAGTACCATGGTGCTGGTGGTCGGAGCCTCTGACTACGCCATGTTCCCCGCCGCCAACAGGCCGCCGCCGCCGCCGCCACCGCCGCACGGGGTGGTGGCGCAGCAGGGCCACGCCGGTTACTTCTCCTACTACCCTCAGCAGGCGCACCACCACCACCACCACCACCACCCGCACCACCAGTACGCCCCACCGGACCTCAACTGCAACCTGCAGCCGTTCATGACGGGACAGTTCAGCGAGGGGCTCCAGGGCGCCGCCTGGCACAACCCGACCATGTACATGCCCGCCACCCACCACTCCGCCGCCGCCCACTGCCAGCAGCGCTCACCCACCGGGTATGACGATTGGGCAGCGCCTCTACACCACAACGGCAGCCACGGGGGTGTATCCCCCTTACCGCAACCCCCGATGCTATCCTCCGCCCCCGGGGGCATGCAACACCCGCCCCACACCCCGTCGCCCTGCAACACCACCCAGCCAGGGCCCGCCTCGCCCAACTTCGCCCACTACCAGAAACTGGCCCCCGTCTCGGGGCCCCCGGAGTTCGCCAACGACAGCGGTGTTCCAGGGGGCGGAGGTGCGCAGTCTCCGCACGACAGCGTCCTGAACCTGGGCGAGGGGGCGGCGGAGGTGGGCTCCCCGCCCTCCGCCCACGCCGGCACCCAACGCCCACAGCAAGTGAGGTCTCCGTTTGAATGGATGAAGAAACCGTCCTATCAAGCTCAGCCCAACACAGGTGAGTCTATCACGCCCACACAATTGGCTCTCTCCTATACTAATATATAATATATTTTATTATATTCTCTATCACTAATTATATAATATATTTCTATATTAATATATTAGATTTTTTAATAGTCTCTTGCAACTATATTATATATTTTATATATTCTTTCGCAAATTATATATTTTTATTAATATATTAAAATGTTATAGTCTCTCGCTAACATATAATATATCTTCTATTATATTTACTATATTACAAAATAAATCCTTCCTTATGAAGGGAAATTGAGAAAGCTTATTTTCATTCGCTGGAAACACCGTGAATGATGTATATAAATGGACGCAAAGTTTTTAAATACATAACAAAATTCAACACGATACAAGGGACCTAAATGAGATAAGTTTAGATTAAGGGAAGACTTGAGTAAACAGGGCCGTTGATTTACGGAACAAATAATCGAAGAATACGCGTCGGATGACTTGATTGTTTCCAGCGTAGGTTAGACATATATGTGTTTGGTGGATGTAAATGGCTCTCAATCCTGGGTCAATAGGCCTCCTGCAGCGGCTCTTATTCATACGTTCATTTCGCAAAAAAATGAAAAATCAATGAAAAAAATTTCAATAAAACATAAGATAAAATTATGTATTAATAAGAAAAATTAATAAAGTCGTGACCCAAGCACCGGGCCATTATAAAATACAGGAGAAAAACGCGAAATTTTGGGTAAAATTATGACATTTAAGCCAATATAGAGAATAATTCATGCAGTCAAACCATATATTTTCCTGATGAAAATGTTTTTGAGATTCAATATGACAAAGCGGTCTGTTATGCCCCAGTGGGTGGCCTGCATACTGCTCATGCCGCCCACTAGAGCAGGACTGAGGCCGCCCACTGGGGCAGGACTCACGCCGCCCACTGGGGCAGGACTCACGCCGCCCACTGGGGCAGGACTCACGCCGCCCACTGGGGCAGGACTCAAGCCGCCCACTGGGGCAGGACTCACGCCGCCCACTGGGGCAGGACTCACGCCGCCCACTGGGGCAGGACTCACGCCGCCCACTGGGGCAGGACTCACGCCGCCCACTGGGGCAGGACTCACGCCGCCCACTGGGGCAGGACTCACGCCGCCCACTGGGGCAGGACTCACACCGCCCACTGGAGCAGGACTCACGCCGCCCACTGGGGCAGGACTCACGCCGCCCACTGGAGCAGGACTCACGCCGCCCACTGGGGCAGGACTCACGCCGCCCACTGGGGCAGGACTCACGCCGCCCACTGGGGCAGGACTCACGCCGCCCACTGGGGCAGGACTCACGCCGCCCACTGGGGCAGGACTCACGCCGCCCACTGAGAGTACAAGGATAAAGTGGTCCACTGAGAGTAGAGGCGTGAACTGCTGGCTGACAGCAGCGCGTCAGCCGAGATTAATGGCATAACCGCCCCGAGGGTCTTGTTAGTTAAGTGTTGCCGCTCAGTGAAGTGTGTTGTCACTCGCTAAGTGTGTTGTTGCTCGCTAAGTGCGTGTTGTTGCTCGCTAAGTGTGTTGTTGCTCGCTAAGTGTGTGTTGTTGCTCGCTAAGTGTGTGTTGCCGCTCGCTAAGTGTGTGTTGCTGCTCGCTAAGTGCGTGTTGCTGCTCGCTAAGTGTGTGTTGCCGCTCGCTAAGTGCGTGTTGTCGCTCGCTAAGTGCGTGTTGCTGCTCGCTAAGTGTGTTGCCGCTCGCTAAGTGCGTGTTGCCGCTCGCTAAGTGTGTGTTGTCGCTCGCTAAGTGTGTGTTGCTGCTCGCTAAGTGTGTGTTGCCGCTCGCTAAGTGTGTGTTGTTGCTCGCTAAGTGTGTGTTGTTGCTCGCTAAGTGCGTGTTGTTGCTCGCTAAGTGTGTGTTGCTGCTCGCTAAGTGTGTGTTGCCGCTCGCTAAGTGTGTGTTGTTGCTCGCTAAGTGTGTGTTGTTGCTCGCTAAGTGTGTTGTCACTCGCTAAGTGTGTGTTGTTGCTCGCTAAGTGTGTGTTGTCGCTCGCTAAGTGTGTGTTGTTGCTCGCTAAGTGTGTTGTTGCTCGCTAAGTGTGTGTTGCCGCTCGCTAAGTGTGTGTTGCTGCTCGCTAAGTGTGTGTTGCCGCTCGCTAAGTGTGTGTTGCCGCTCGCTAAGTGTGTGTTGCTGCTCGCTAAGTGTGTGTTGCCGCTCGCTAAGTGTGTGTTGCCGCTCGCTAAGTGTGTGTTGCCGCTCGCTAAGTGTGTGTTGCCGCTCGCTAAGTGTGTGTTGCTGCTCGCTAAGTGTGTGTTGCCGCTCGCTAAGTGTGTGTTGCTGCTCGCTAAGTGTGTTGTCACTCGCTAAGTGTGTGTTGCCGCTCGCTAAGTGTGTGTTGTCGCTCGCTAAGTGTGTGTTGCCGCTCGCTAAGTGTGTGTTGCCGCTCGCTAAGTGTGTGTTGCCGCTCGCTAAGTGTGTGTTGTCGCTCGCTAAGTGTGTGTTGCCGCTCGCTAAGTGTGTGTTGCCGCTCGTTAAGTGTGCGTTGCCGCTCGCTAAGTGTGTGTTGCCGCTCGCTAAGTGTGCGTTGCCGCTCGCTAAGTGTGTGTTGTTGCTCGCTAAGTGTGTTGCTGCTCGCTAAGTGTGTGTTGCTGCTCGCTAAGTGTGTGTTGTCACTCGCTAAGTGTGTGTTGCCGCTCGCTAAGTGTGTGTTGTTGCTCGCTAAGTGTGTGTTGCCGCTCGCTAAGTGTGTGTTGTTGCTCGCTAAGTGTGTGTTGCCGCTCGCTAAGTGTGTGTTGTTGCTCGCTAAGTGTGTGTTGTCACTCGCTAAGTGTGTGTTGCCGCTCGCTAAGTGTGTGTTGTTGCTCGCTAAGTGTGTGTTGCCGCTCGCTAAGTGTGTGTTGTTGCTCGCTAAGTGTGTGTTGCCGCTCGCTAAGTGTGTGTTGTTGCTCGCTAAGTGTGTTGCTGCTCGCTAAGTGTGTGTTGCCGCTCGCTAAGTGTGTGTTGTTGCTCGCTAAGTGTGTGTTGCCGCTCGCTAAGTGTGTGTTGCCGCTCGCTAAGTGTGCGTTGCAGCTCGCTAAGTGTGTGTTGCCGCTCGCTAAGTGTGTGTTGTTGCTCGCTAAGTGTGTTGCTGCTCGCTAAGTGTGTGTTGCTGCTCGCTAAGTGTGTGTTGTCACTCGCTAAGTGTGTGTTGCCGCTCGCTAAGTGTGTGTTGCCGCTCGCTAAGTGTGCGTTGCAGCTCGCTAAGTGTGTGTTGCAGCTCGCTAAGTGTGTGTTGTTGCTCGCTAAGTGTGTGTTGCTGCTCGCTAAGTGTGTGTTGCCGCTCGCTAAGTGTGTGTTGCCGCTCGTTAAGTGCGTGTTGCCGCTCGTTAAGTGCGTGTTGCCGCTCGTTAAGTGCGTGTTGCCGCTCGTTAAGTGCGTGTTGCCGCTCGCTAAGTGTGTGTTGCCGCTCGTTAAGTGCGTGTTGCCGCTCGCTAAGTGTGTGTTGCCGCTCGTTAAGTGTGTGTTGTTGCTCGCTAAGTGTGTGTTGTCACTCGCTAAGTGTGTGTTGCCGCTCGTTAAGTGCGTGTTGCCGCTCGCTAAGTGTGTGTTGCCGCTCGTTAAGTGTGTGTTGCCGCCCGTTAAGTGTGTGTTGCCGCTCGCTAAGTGTGTGTTGCCGCTCGCTAAGTGTGTGTTGCCGCTCGCTAAGTGTGTGTTGCCGCTCGCTAAGTGTGTGTTGCCGCTCGCTAAGTGTGTGTTGCCGCTCGCTAAGTGTGTGTTGCCGCTCGCTAAGTGTGTGTTGCCGCTCGCTAAGTGTGTGTTGTTGCTCGCTAAGTGCGTGTTGCCGCTCGCTAAGTGTGTGTTGCCGCTCGCTAAGTGTGTTGGCGCTTGGACCCTTGGACCTTCCCCTTGGTCCTTCCCCTTGGACCTTCCCCTTGGACCTTCCCCTTGGACCTTCCCCTTGGACCTTCCCCTTGGACCTTCCCCTTGGACCTTCCCCTTGAACCTTCCCCTTGGACCTTCCCCTTGGACCTTCCCCTTGAACCTTCCCCTTGGACCTTCCCCTTGGACCTTCCCCTTGGACCTTCCTCTTGGACCTTCCCCTTGGTCCTTCCCCTTGGACCTTCCCCTTGGACCTTCCCCTTGGACCTTCCCCTTGGACCTTCCCTTGGACCTTCCCCTTGGACCTTCCTCTTGGACCTTCCCCTTGGTTCTTCCCCTTGGACCTTCCCCTTGGACCTTCCCCTTGGTCCTTCCCCTTGAACCTTCCCCTTGGACCTTCCCCTTGAACCTTTCCCTTGGACCTTCCCCTTGGTCCTTCCCCTTGGTCATTCCTCTTGGTCCTTCCTCTTGGACCTTCCCCTTGGACCTTCCCCTTGGACCTTCCCCTTGGACCTTCCCCTTCGACCTTCTCCTTGGACCTTCCCCTTGGACCTTCCCCTTGGACCTTCTCCTTGGACCTTCCCCTTGGACCTTCCCCTTGGACTTTCCCCTTGGACCTTCCCCTTGGACCTTCCCCTTGGTCCTTCCCCTTGGACCTTCCCCTTGGACCTTCCCCTTGGACCTTCCTCTTGGACCTTCCCCTTGGACCTTCTCCTTGGACCTTCCCCTTGGACCTTCCCCTTGGACCTTCTCCTTGGACCTTCCCCTTGGACCTTCCCCTTGGACTTTCCCCTTGGACCTTCCCCTTGGACCTTCCCCTTGGACCTTCCCCTTGGACCTTCCTCTTGGACCTTCCCCTTGGACCTTCCCCTTGGTCCTTCCCCTTGGACCTTCCCCTTGGACCTTCCCCTTGGTCCTTCCCCTTGGACCTTCCCCTTGGACCTTCCCCTTGGACCTTCCTCTTGGACCTTCCCCTTGGTCCTTCCCCTTGGACCTTCCCCTTGGACCTTCCCCTTGAACCTTTCCCTTGGACCTTCCCCTTGGACTTTCCCCTTGGACCTTCCCCTTGGACTTTCCCCTTGGACCTTCCCCTTGGACTTTCCCCTTGGACCTTCCCCTTGGACTTTCCCCTTGGACTTTCCCCTTGGACCTTCCCCTTGGACTTTCCCCATGGACCTTTCTCCTG